CACGGCACCTGGGCTTGAGCTATGTGACATCACATGGATTCAGCTCCAAGTGCCAAGTGCACCGAGAGGCTCTGCCCATAACAAGCTCCCCTCGGCCGAGAACTTGTGTGCCGTTCTGTAAATTCTCCCACACATATCAGCACTTTGGTAGGCTCTTGTCTCTCATGCTGCCTCCACCAGTCCCATCATCATTTCAAAAAACCCTAGAAATCTTGACAAACGGAGGCATTGATGATTCAAAGCATCACCCCAAAGCTTTCAATGGATTCAACAACCGGTTTTCGGATTCTCGACCTGCTGCCAGCAAACTACGATGATGACTTATGCTGCAACATCCGCAATCTGGAGCTCGGAACTTGTGAGCCATACGAGACCCTGTCGTATGTCTGGGGAGACCAGTTAAATTTGGAGCCAATCCAGGTAGCAGGTGCAACAGCCAAAATCACAAAGAGACTTCAGGCTGCCCTCAGACGCCTTCGACAGCCCAGTGTGATACGGCACCTCTGGATCGACCAGCTGTGCATTAATCAATTGGATTCGCGTGATAAGACGCGACAGGTCTCCATAATGCGCCAGATCTACAAGAACTGCTCGAGATGTCTGATCTGGCTCGGCGAGCTTCCTGACACGCTCGATGTTAGCGATGCAGAGGGAGCATTCGACTTCATTTGCATGTGCGCGGGGCAGTGGGGTGACTCGGAGTTCATTCCTCCGGGTCTTTCGACTCCTGAGCGATTAGCAAGGGCCCATGGCGCCTTCAAGGCTTTGGTACTGGATGGGAACCCTTGGTGGTCGCGGATATGGACGGTTTAGGAAGTCGTGCTCCCATCTAATGCTTTGCTCCTATGGGGCCCGCTGTGTCTGCCCTGGGTCACGTTGAAGAAGGCAGCAAGGAGATTGTGCTCAGGGCACTTTCCACGTTTGCATTTCCCCATAGTAGACACATTCCGAGATATAGTCAACAATTTTACAGGGCCAGTTCGTGGACTGGAGATTGCGGAAGCCGGGGAGAGCCCGCTGAATATCCTCCAGCGATGGTGACACCGAAAGGCAACGGACCCGAGGGACAAAGCTTTTGCACTGATGGGCATGTTTTCACACACACCCATCCCCGGTGTGCAGATCTGCGACTACGACATGTCCGTCGTCAATCTATACAAGGTTATCACGGGGCTGATACAGAGTGGAAAAAGGCCTCAGACCACTTGTCGGCCTGCGGCCGAACAGCATCCCAGATCTCCCTTCATGGGCGATTGACCTGTCACAAACACCTTGTGGCAACACCCCCCATTGGTGGTGGAACCACTCCCACCGTTACAAGAAATTTGCGGCTGATTGTGGGGAGGATCTACAGTTCACGCCGCCGTTGCACGAAGGCAGCCTGCTCTCTCTAAGGGGCATGCCGATAGACACTGCACAAAAGGTCGGAAGCCCACTGACAGGAGATCGCCCGGAGAGCATTTTGAATAAGCAAATCATCGAATCCACGAAGATTTGGCAGCAGCTAATGGAACGAGCTCTGGGAGACCGGAAGTATCCCAGTGGTGAGAATCCAGCTGATGTATTTTGGCGAACCATGATGGGAGACCTTCTCATGCAAGAGTTCTCGCTACGGAGGGCCAATGACAATGACGCTCGCCTAGCCGCTTTACAGTTCCAAGGAGGCAGTCCCTTGAACAAGCTTATCTGCAACTCTGTGCGCATGATGATAGTTGGTCAGACCTTCTTTGTCACAAAGAGAGGGTACGTTGGTGTCGGTCCACCGAACTTAGTCGAGAGGGACGAGGTCTGGGTGCTTTCGGGCGGTAAGGTGCCGTTCATTCTGCGGCCAACGACGGGCGATAAAAGCCCTCGAAGCAGTGCCACTCCCCTATTCTCCTTGACGGGGGATGCTTTTGTGCATGGCATTATGGACGGGGAGGCAATTGCGTTGCACAAGGGCGGACCGCAGGCTGTGTATCTGCACTGATTTGCATGAAGTTCATGGCTTGTACTGCATTGTCATTCAAGAGTTCCCAGGCGTGCAATCCTCCCTTTCCATCCTCACCCACCTTATGTTGCAAACAGCTTTTGATGGGTCATCTTGATGACCAGCGATATATATAACCAAGCGGAGAAGAAATCCAAAAGTAAAGTATTTAAGGCCTATCAATAACTATGGGATTGTGTTGGTGGTAGTGAAGAATATCATGCGGGGCAAAGGGCGTAGAATGATAAGCCTGTTGAGAGTATCAGACTCGTATATGCGTTGATCTCGTAAGATAGGTTGTGTGGAACAAGAGTGGCAGAACTATTGGCTTAGTTGTAGACAGGAGTGTTCAACCAATTGGGGTGCTGGCTAGCGAAAGTATGTAGTGCAGACCAAGAGATGATGATTAAGGATAGCGGCTTTGTCATTGCTGAAGATCTTCCTTTCTGGTGCGGTCAGTTGCCCTGACCTGCTGGTGGCACAGAATACCTCCATTGATGGAGACAAGATATTTGATTGCGGTCGGGCAAAAAAGGAAAGCTTAACCGGGTTATTTTCACTTGGGCACTTACCTTAGGCATCTAATCTAACTCAGAATATAGCTCACATTTTGTGACTAGATACTAGAGCGAGGTGGAAGCCGGCAAATTATTGATGCCGCGCGAAAAAACATACTAAGTCATCTGAACTTTCAGCTTGAGACGTTCCGTAAATTACTTCAAACTCTGAACAGCAACGTTCGTCAAGTTCTTGCTCGGCATATGTAACGGGTTTTGCTTGCTTTCATAACCATCATAGTAATATACTTAGGTCTCTTAGGTTTCTACATTTCCCGCTGTTATAACCTAACTCAGGAGTTGCAAACCGTTTCGAGTACGGATGAGTGTCGCCAAAACAGAATTCAAGCTTAATAGTATATGTGGACGTTTACTTATGTTGTCTGTGTTTCCAGCTGCAATATCGTGGCCACTCAGTATATGCGTTTACTGTATTGGATATTGTGTTGACATGTCGCGCTCCATTATTTAGACCAGAATATTCCACAGTGATCCCATTACGTCAAACCACGTTGAAAAGATACCCAGCGAAAATTGCTTCAGTGGGAGAACCAAGGCGTTGATGCACTGTGCTTCAGATATGACCTTTCGACTCCTGTATGCATCTCCCTACGCCTGGGTGATCGTGAATTGTGGATTCTGAGCAGCGTCATGCCGGGAGAATCAACTTTACCCTTACTGTGTACGCGGGAGAATGGCTTAGAGCTGCGGGTGTTGGGCAACTAAGTGCAGCCTTAGTGTTGTGGCAATCTTTCATGGTTTAAACTGCACTTAGGCCCGAGATTCTCTACGCATTTTCATGCTACTCCACGTGACAGATGACGATAAAATTTGTTTTGGGGCTGAATATTCCAATCTCTGATAGTGCATGATCCTTTCCCTAAGAGGATATGTAAGCGCCGTGCTTGAAAGACTGGGTGGGATCCTCGGGTATTTCGGGTGTTCAGTTTGGCGCTACACATTAGCCACAGAGATGACCGAAATTTGGGTTAGTGCTCTCCTTTTCCACGGCTAAGCCACAGTCACAGTCCGAGGGGCTCGGACTCGGACTATAATACGAGCTGTACGAATATTTCGGCTTGCCCAAGTCGATGGCTTTCAAACATGATTATTGTTTTACGCTATATACAAACGCTGCAACTGCTTCTTCCGGATTGTTGCTGTTGTTGTTTCCTCGCTGTCATGCGCCAGCCTGTCGGGGCATCTCCCGGGTCGTCCTCCCAAACATCGACGACCCATACTGACGACATGGGCCTTGTGCAAAATCCTCACGCTCATTGGACCTCGTTGAGACAGCGCGACGTGATTGGCGGAGCCAAACGAATAATCAGAACAGTGCTGGGCGCCGCGGAAGCCCGAAGAGTGGTTGAAGAAGCAGCAAATGTCTGGTTTGTTTCTCCGTGGGATTCCTAGTTCTGTCCTCCTAACCTCCGGGCCTGAAGCTTCACGGCAGTACCATGCGTTGGTCTTCGCTGCGGCTTGAAAGGGTTGGAACGCGTATTGGCGAGGGCCTGTTCGAGTTGAGTATCGCCAGCTGCGTCCCCCCTGACAACAGAATCGAACCTAGGGGTTAAGATCTGTGGCATTCTACTTACCGCTTGGTGCTGATTATTCTTTGCCTCTTCCACAGATAACGTTCCGAAGCCTGCGCGGCTCTCCATTCGACCAGACGCCCCTTACGGCCGCGTTTTGTCCTCAGTCCCGCGGGGATGTTGACAACGCAGCGATCTCGCGCCTCCTGTTCGAAATATTCCGAAACTTTGTCCACGAGCAGAGCAACTCGAGCTTGTACCGACTGCCCCCTACGCCTACCGTGTGACTCTAAACGACGACCTCGAGTGGCAGACGAGTAGAATTTCGACACCGCTAGCCGTTGGGATCCAGACAGCCGAGCTACCGAGCTGTAGGGGAGTTGAGAAAACTGGAAGATTGCTGGTTATGCTTTCTCTACAAAGTTTCTTGGTCATTGCCAAAAGGACGTCAACAATGCTGCTGTCATCAAGCGCGGTAAATCCATCGATAACATCGAGCGAAACAAAACCGCACAAGACCCTGGCCTACGTTCAAGAGCGCCTTGCAACTCTTGGTTCAATCGGCTCCCACTTTCCGGACCTTTCGTTGAACACGGTTGGCGACTTTACTCGTTATGTACAACATGCTCTCCTTTGTTGCTAGTCGAATCGATGAAGCTACCTTCAATGTATTCTCGGCGTAGGCGACCCGAACACCGAAGGTTTAGACACGGAAAGAGATGGCTGTGAACCCGGAGGCCGCGCTTCCCGCGGACCAAGAGGGCAGACAAAAGAAGCACCAATTGCTGCGGCGTTCGGAGATTTTCGACGCGGCATCGTGGTATCCACATCCCGACTGCGGTATGGGGAATAAACAAGTGGCAGATCATGGATCACGTAGGGCTGGCCATCTAGACGATGCCTTTGCCGCGCGTAGTAGGTTTCCGCAGGGAGAGGCTGATATCACGAACAGATGTCGCTGAATTCCATCGTCGGGTCCCTAACCCACGGCCTATGCTCGTCGTCCAACGATCCATACGTCTTTCCGTACAGGTTATTCGACCAAGCATCTAGCCACCACTGACTAGGCAGCTGCTTCAGCAGCATGCAAAAGTACAAGAAGATCACCAACGCCTTTTGTCTGGAATCCCTCAATAACGGCAGAAAGTCATCGGCAACCATTGCAATCCAGACGAACACATCCGTGATGTCCTGTGGCTCCGTGCAATCGTAAAACGCTCCGTACGACTTGTAAAGCTCGTTGATGGCATGATTGTATATAGCAAGTAATCCATCATCTCGCTCCGAAGCATTGATGTTTGCCTCAAGATCTCCGAGGTGCGTGTGATGATACGGCCTCTCGCGCGTCTGGAAGTGCGCTAGAGTACGCGTGATAATGGGCGAGATCAGTGGGTTGTCGTTTGGCTCTCCAACTAGATACCTGGTCCCGCAGAATAGTACGATCCAATCTGGTGACTGTTCAGTGCCAGCCAGCGGAGCATCACTGTGATATTGCGAGTTGGCTAGTACTAGATATCAAATCACGAGTCAATATACATAGCACGTTTTTACAGTCCGTGAAAAATCACTCACCGATATAAATCGTCAACACAGAGAAGATGAATAACTGCGCCTTGTTGCTCTCTTGTACCTCTTGCATTAGTCCAACTGCTGCTCTAGATGACATCTCGTGATGCATCATGGACTTTTCCAGCAGGTGATCCTTTCTCTCTGGGCAGAGGTGCGCGAGATGTAGAGCTGAAACGGAGAGAATACTCCGCATAACATAGTCGCACTCGATTCCGAGCTTGACGACGTTTAAACGCCAAAACTCGCGCATCAGGGAGTTTTCTGACAAAGTGTATGCCGTGAAGTTGCAGTAATGATGCAAAAGCTCAAGATCGAGAAAGTTTAACCCTCCCGGGTGCTCCGCCAACGAGAATGTGGGATCTCGTGACGAAGATGATAAGAAGCCACAGGCGACTCCATGTTTGATACAGTTCTTGCATGCTGGCCTCTGTTCGTCACACTATGGTTGTTTTGTTAGTCGCTGTTTGGCTGCTGGGGATGATATAGAGGCGTTCATCCCGTCAGCCTGCTAGCTGCCGTTGAGAATTAGGGGCACGGGCATGATGGATTGCGGGAGCTAGACGATAGAGCTCTATGTTGCCAGGCTCCCTGGCGAAAACCGCCCCAATTGTTGTCGCTATATCATGACGTATTGTGTACTCACCTTGATCTTTCTTGACTTGCAGGTTTTACAACCAGTTCGGGTCTTCGGGTGCGATCGTCGAGAGAAGTTCGACTGCATATTCGCGAGCTTCGTACTCGGAAGCTGTCAGGGAGTTGCTGGGCGGTGACGCGTAGAGTCTCAAGACAGTAAGCAGAACCGCGCAGGATTGTGGTTGGCATCTCGGCAGTGATAACCGTCTTCATAGAACAATCACCGAACCACAACCTCAAGAGTGCGAAGTCGTTTTCGGGTGGTAACACAGAGGAATACAAAGGGCGATTAATAGAGGGGGACGCATAACCCACACCACGTCCGCGGAGCCCATCGTATATCAGTCGTATTCGCACTTCCTCGGGTGTTCTAAGGGGCTAAGTGTGCGGACTGATTCAATTGGGCCGCCCGGCGCCACACTTGTCCTGAACACGACCTGGATCTTCCGCTGACGTCCGCTGAGTCATACGTAACCCTGTATTGAAATGAAAAAAAAAAAAAAAAAAAAAAAAAAAAAAAAAACCAAGACCAAGCAGGATACTTTCCTCCAGTAATCTTGGGACTGTGGTTCTGGGGTTGGCGATATCTGACGGCCACCGACTACGACACAGTTGACTCTGAAGCTCCCACCCAGCCTCGAATATGGTATATGCCATAGTGACGATACCCGTTGTCGGGGCAGAATTGTCTGACAGGTAGAACTTTGAAACCTAGCTACCATACCCATCCAACCAGATCATGGCGTACATACCCGTTAAGCTACGCCTGAGCAGGGTCTATTCGTGTTAGGTCGGCTCGACTGTCCGATCATATCACCAACTCCTGGCAGGCAAACCTCAATGCACCAACACATCTCCCGCATCCATGATCCAACTAACAAGGTCGTATTGTTAATCCCTGCGCTTCCCCAGACGTTCGCGGGTTTCTCTACAAAGAGAGAAGCACGCCTATGATCTCGGCTTACGTATGGATACAGTCTTCATCGACTTCCCAACGGACCACGATGAAGTCTCCAGGGGTGGCTATGGCCATCATTCTGGACAGCCGGGCCATATACATCTCATGTGCTAAACGCCGACAAGACTATCTGGGTGCGTCTAGCCTTTTGAGGCAATTGCTTGGACATACTGCAGTATTAGAAGGCCGCTGATAGGTCGCTACAGGTGTATCGTTGACACCGGCCGAACCTACGAGTCATGACTCTACGTAGGCGGGGGCCCATACCGTCCCGCAATCGACATCTAACAGTGCAAAAGGTGTCTGTCCTCATCTGGTGGCCCCATGCGGCAGCTGAGCCGCCCGCACGTCTGCTGCACGGCCACGTTTTATATCTGCCCACCCTGCTCGCGGCCGACCACGAGCCACTGACAGAACCTAACTCCCCGAAGGGGTGCAGCGGGTAAAAGGCTTATCCACCAACTGTCTAAACCGTGAGACACGTTTGTTGTCTTGTTAACTGACAATGGAGGAAGGCAACAGACCTACATGTTTAAGCTCCTGGAAAACTCGTCTCAGAACTCGGCCGAGACATCGGGGTAGTTCTTGCGAGTGATTAAAGACGACTTCTTTCCAAATCATATGAGACATGCTTAATCTTCCTGTGGCGTGAATTGATGTTGGGTTTGCGTCTCCTTTGGATGAAAGCTGAAAACAACAATCGGCGATCACAACTACCGTGCCCCTCCAGCTAGTGTGGACAAGTACCTCGGCTACGGGAACTATCCCAATGGGGACTGTACAAAAGGGGAATGTCCCAAAAGATGAGGGTACAGGCGGTTCGTTGTGGGGCGCGTCGTCCGCCAAGATGCGCATTGCTTAGTTTGATGTTGTAGTTCGTGGCTAGCGTGACGTTGAAACCCTAAGAGTCCGGGAGGAGTCCGGTGCGTAGTCCAGAGCTCCGGCAATCTCCGGCATAATCCGGACGGGCCCCGATCGAAATTACCCACTTTAAACCGGACATCTTCACAAAAACAAGAGCGACGGCTAAACGGCTCTATTAGTTGCCGCTCAAGTCACCGCGAACTTTGGCACGATTCAGCTTTCGTACGATCTTGAGCCTCGCCTCGGCAGGCAAAAGGTTTGTGTATTGATCTAGCCCGGACTTGAACCGGAGACCGTCAGTGAAAGACGCGCAGCTTCTCAAGTGAGAGAAACTCGGCATGTTAGACTGACGTGATAACCAACTACACCACCAGACCATATGTCTATGCACTTGATGAAGATGGCAAATTAACTGTGTGGTGTTCGTTACTGTGGATGCCAGCGGATGCCCATAGAAGCGGAGCTGACGATTCTCGGGTGGGAATCGAGCCCTAGCAGTGGAGACCTCCTGGCCTCACCTCGCGCGCTGGTTGGCTTGAAGACACACCAGGTGCCCGAGATCACTGAAGATCGTGGCGGACATAGCTCAGTTGGGAGAGCGTCAGACTGAAGTGGGTTTCGATGCTGTAAACTTCAATCACCTTATCTGAAGGTCGTGTGTTCAATCCACACTGGCCGCATTCTTCCCTTTTTGTCTGTGAACGAGATTGAAGATGGTAAATTGGGCTCGCTGTGTGTGCTTTTGTTAGCAGAGAGAGAGCAAACCCTTCGAATAGAAACAAACCCCTTTGCCAACATTGCGGGCATCCAATCTCCCGAAGAGTCAATAGTCGAGATACACCGCAACCACGGAAGCATCTCCACGAACACAATAATTCCGAAACACAAGATGCAAGCAAGGTAGAAGAACATCGGCGTGTGTTATGCGCCGACAACAAACAAAGTTCCAGCATACGTGTTCATCAACCAATGTCCTTTCGCCAAGAGCGATATACGACGCGCCACGAAATCCTTACTCGGTCCTTTGCATGTAATGAATGAATATTGAGCCGAGAATATGAGACTCGCGGAGGATGTGATGGTGCAAGTTCCAAGCAAGTGACTGGCTGGCGTATTCTCCCCTGTCAGATCATCATACCATTCAAGGCTGATCAGGAGTCCCCCACATCGGCTCACCTGCCTCCAACCAACTCTACCAATTGCCGACATGGTTCTATTGGTCATCGCGAGGGCCCGAGATTATCCCTCTAAACAACGATTTGTATGCGAACCGCGATAGTGCAATGGCAAGTACGGGATGGTTTTTTCATCCTACTACTTACTGTTAAGCTTTGCGCAACGCGGTGTTGCTTTGTTCGTCGAGAACACTTTTTCCCATCAGTCATGCGTCGTAGTTGGTCTTTCAGTCGAAACCCAAGTTGATCAATCTGGAAACCCCAAAAAGGTTGAGGGGAGCGTCAACAGTATCTAACCATAGAACCGTCGACTACCCCACGAGAGAAGTCGAGGACGCGTCATTGGCGTCAGCACGCGCGCCTATACCTTGAGCAAACCTCAGCTGTAACATAGAAAGCACCAAACACAATACGAGACATCTAACATCATCAGCAAATTGTCGAAACACGAGCATACGCTATGCAAACAAACATGGGATGCGTCGAGGAAAAAAGAAAAGGGGTGAAGGAGAGTTTCCCCGACGCATTAAACAACCGGCATTCTGACTCAAATGAGACCACGCTGTGGAGCAATGTTGTGACTCTATCGATACAAGATATCTGTTGCAAATTGCGAGAAAGACGGAAACAAGAGCTCTACACCAATGGTACCTTTGTCTCAGGATACTTGCCGGATGCGAGTGCCTCCCCATCCATGACTCCACTCACGTAGGCGTCTCCGACCACCTCGTACATTCCGGCTCCAGTCGGCCTGAGGACGAAAGGCACCTCCGACCCAAGTAGAAGACACACGCGATCGCCTTTTCTTCCCTCCCTCGGTATCATGCAGAGTGTGCCCTCTACAGTAGTCGAAAATCTCCTAGGTGTTGCCGCGGACAGCACACTCATCTCGACCGACTGTCCAAACAGAACGAACCGAACCCGCACCCTCTCCGCCTCCTCAACGTCCTCTGAGTTGAGCCACAACTCCATACCGTTTATCATCGTGTTCAGATGACTCGACATGTCAACATCGATACGGTCGCTGAGCTGGCTTCTCTCGCAAGTCATAGTCCGCCAGAAAGAGTCGAGTCTCTCGGGAGACATCTCGTCGATATCCTCGGAACCGCAAGCAAGTTTTACACATTGTCTATAAAGGTTGAGGGATCTCTACGCGTTGCGAGAATGATAGCTGCCCAGCCGATCTAGTGGAAATGGCACGCGCTTAGGCTTCGGCGGGAACGGCAGCTCTGGAAAGAAGACACCGTTTTCCTTAACCGTGTCGATGAACATCTCCGTACACTCGAGGATCTTGTCGTCTACGATTTCGACTCTTCCCGGCGTAGCCCCACCAGCAGAGAATTTCCCATATCGGACGGTGTAACTTGGCAGTATGTCGATCTCCTGGTTTCGCAGATCAGGAACCCACGAGGGCAAGCCTGGAAGACGCCGCTTCTGCCATCGGATATACGGGCGAAGATACCAAGGGGCTAGTGCGTCAGTGATGAGCTTTTGCGGCGCCAACGCGAGGACGGCGAAGTTTTGCTTCTCCAAAAGCTGGGAGCGGGCGAAGCGCAGATAGCACTCTTGCACTGATAGCGAGTACAGATTGTCCTGAGAGATGATGCTGTCTTTTTCGACATCTGATGCGTGTCCTAGAATACCAAGGATGTGGTCTCTAGGGTTGCTACAGAAGAATGACCTAGTCGCTTTGACCCCGTCCATCAGCGTTATCGGCTTGGTTCCCCGATACCAATGGCTGAGACGCATCATGGAGAGGTTGTACAATCGCCCAGGGATAAAAGCCACCGTCTGGTCCGAGAGCGAACCATCATTCGGTAGTGCCTGGATCCCAAATGTTGCCATGCGCAAAGCAAGTTCTGCCATGGGCTCGAAAGGCATCTCGAGCTTGCCGCAGTACAGCGATGTTCTGTCCTTGAGCACTGCCTCTTGATAGACCCATTTACGCTCGAACCAGCTGTGATTCAAGAGCGACCGGAGAGGCTTCCAATCGAGATGTTTCGTCGTCGACTTGTCCGCTTCAGACCCCTCAGCGTTGCGATGCCCAAGTAGTTCCGCGCTTTCTCTGTTTTTCTTCGGGTCGTCCACAAC